GGATGAAGGGGGATAACCCATTCCAGTGGATTCACCCCCAAAACAACAGAGACACAGGCATAGAGACAGAAACACAGATGTGCTGTGTCCTCTTAGCGTTGCCTGTCTAGTAGATACCTGTGGATGAAGTTGTTGGGGTATCCGTTGTTAGCAAAGACCTTGAATAGGTGTTCTTCCTCCTTCTTGCATAGTTCTGGTGTGTTGTCATGGGTTGTGGCTCATTTGAATAGTGTTCTAACACGGCTTTGTTTGTGGATGTTGTGATTGCTGTGGAAATTGAGGATTTAGTTTGCGTGGGTTGCCTTCCTATATATTGTGGCTTGGAACTCCCCATTGGCCATTCATTCTACCCTGACATCTAGAAACAGAAGTTAATTGTTGTCTTCCTCTTCTCTCATAAATTTGATCCCGGTGAAAATGTTGTTGATGAGATGGTATGTCTCTTGGTGCGTTTAATGATGACAAATGTGTCGTCCACATATCAAATCCACAGTTTGGGCTGTATGAGAGTGAGGGTAGTGCATTCCAATCTTTGCATGACTACCTCTTGCAATATGTCCTGAGATGGGTGATGCCGAAGGTGTGCCAATGATTTGTTTGTATATTTGGCTGTTAAAGACAAAGTGTGTGGTGAGGCATAGGTCCAGTAGTCTGAGTATGTTGTCCTTGCTGATGGAACTGTTGAGTTCAGTGTTCCTGCTTCATCCAGTAATGTGGCAAGTGTTTCTTTGGCTAGTGGTACGTCAATGGACGTGAATAGTGCTGTAACGTCAAAGGATACAATAATCTCGTCATTGTTGATTTTAATCTTCTTGAGGTTGTTAAGGAATTCCTGGGTTGAGTGGATGGAGTGGGGTGATCTGTTGACCAGGTGTTTCAGTCTCTGTTGTAGGTCCTTGGCCAGTTTGTGTAAAGATGTGCCTGGTAGGGAGAAATTGGGTCTGAGGGGGATGTCTGGTTTATGTACTTTGGGTAGTCTGTCGAAGTAGGGAGAGTTTGAGCCTTCTAGCTTCATTTTCATGGAGCTTTCATGTCTTGGTTATTTGTCCAGCATTTTTTAGTCTCCTCAGCGTTTGGGTGCTGGGTCTATCTCCACCTGTTGGTAAGTGTGTGTATCTGCAAGCAGTGCCTGTGCTCTCTCAACGTGCCCTTTGTCTGCTGGTAAGATTGTGATGTTCTTGTTTTTCTTAAATCCTTCGAGTGCTTTTCTCTCTGATGTGTTCAGGGTATCCCATTCGTTCCTCCAGTTCAGTGGAGTGATTATAGTTTGTTGGATGGCTTGTTGTGTTTTGTCCATGTGTCCATCATCTTTTAGTGTAGCTTCCAAAGTGGCCATGAGGTCTGTTCTGTTTGTGTCTCTGTGGTCATAGTTTAGTCCACATATTAGGATAGCTTTCTTGGTTTCTGTAAGTTTTGTTCTGGATAGGTTTCTTACCCACGAGTCTGGTTTGTTGCTTCTCTTACTGGTGGACCAGTTTGGTCAGTTTCTCCTGTAGCGTGTGTCTCTTCTTTGTTCTGGTCTGTGTTGTTTGATGATGATTGTCTGTTCCAGGGTTGTAATCCATTGCTGATCAGTATTGTTTTGGTATAATGATTCTTGGTGTGAAATTTCCTGCTCATACTTGTAGAGCTGGTTATGAGCATTGTTGATCAATACCCATAGCATTCTCTGGCCATTTTGTTCAGCTGTTTTGCATGCCTGTGGGTTGTGGCGTGGAGGTTTTTACTTAATGCAATGGGGCAGTAGCTTGTTCCTGAGCCATTCGTGGAGAAAATGAAGCTGTTCCCAGGTAGCGCTCAGTCAGTTTCCCGTTGTCGGGCTACTTTGAGTGTGTTGTGCCTGCAGGTGTTTAAGGCTCTTGCAAAGGTTTGTAGTTCGGGGTACGGATTAGGTTGTTGCTTGCTTGCTTGCTGAGCTAGCTGGTTATCGCAAATCTGCAGGTGCCTACTAAATAGACAACAACAAGAGGACACAGTACGCCCTAACACACTGGCCACATTGCCCTACATCAATAACATATCAGAACTGACAACGAGACTCCTACGACCTCTAGGAATACTGGTAGCACACAAGCCCACTGCCACACTATGACAAACACTCACAAGGACCAAAGACCCCACACCAACGACATGCAGGACCATTGTAGTTTATAAAATACATTGCAATGACTGCAATAAACATTACATCAGCCACACTGGAAGGAAACTAGCCATCAGGATACATGAACACCAGCTAACAGCAAAATGACATGACAAACTTTCCCTCATCTCAGTGCATTCGGACAATGAAGGCCATCAATTTAACTGGGACAACATGACCATCCTCGTTCAAGCCAATTACAGACATGCACGGGAATGCCTAGAGGCCTGGTTTTCAACTTGTACTGCAATCAAAAACATGTGGAATTAGACCCTATATACAAACCCATGCAGAACAGAACCGGAAACGACACAACCTAACTTAACAGATCGGACGTATAAATACCAAGCGGAGTAGAACAACATTGCTTCATCGGAGGCCGCACTGATGATGTTACCTAGCATGGTGATGAAATTTTTGTACAATAACCGTAAGTTTAAGGTGAGAGGGGTAATTTTAAAGCAGATGTGTGAGTTTTTGCACAGAGGTTAGTAAGTGCCTGGAACATACTGCCGGGGGAGGTGATTGAAGCAGAGATGAGAGCAATGTTTGCAATGCATTGCGACAGATACATCAACAGGCAGGGAATAAATGGATACGGTTCACGTCCAGCCAGTTAGCATTAGTTTAGAAGAGCATCATTGTCATCACAGACATGATGGGCTGAAGGATCTGTTCCTGTACTGTACTATTCTATGCCCTATGCTCCAACAGGCAAAATGTAAGCTCTAAAATTAAACAAAGAACTGTAAAATCTGAAGATCTGAAACAGAACAGATATTGGTTGTAGGGGGTCTTTTAGAAAAAAGACACACCACAAGGACTAGGGTCTTGCTTCAGCAGAATCACTTCGTCATTCAGGCTTGCAATCGATTACAGCAGGGAGAGCTCCAAGACACATGGTCACAGGACGGTCAGGAAGGCTCCGATTAAACAAGTTAAAACAAATTGCAATTGTAATGTGTTTTAGCAAGGCAGAGTCATTACTTAGGCAACCAGACATACATTAAATTGAAGCGGAATGCGGTGAAGATAAGAGTGTACAGATGCTGCAAGCCCTAACTTTTTGCTGTCTGTCCTACGCGACTTCTCAGGTCAGGGAAAGGCAATTTGCAGTTCCAGCAATATTTACTGTTTCATAAAGCTAAAGTTTCCCTACTTCATGCTCCTAGTCATGTATTATTTTAACTCATTTCTGCTCAGCCTAAAT